CTGAATGTAACCCTTATTTCATATTTAAGTAATTTCACTGTTATAGGAATGCTACTTCAGTGTTATTAATACCAATTCCGTGGCGTAAGTTTCGTCAATAAGTTATTTACAGGCTAATTACCTTGAATTGCAGTCTATCAAGATAGTCATCAATATTAGAAAGATGGAGTTTGAAGACGCTTCTTACAGCAATTCAAGAGAGTAAATTATTACTCACTTTCTTGCATCATATTAAGCGTGTTGAATAATGGAGATAGAAACACCCAACTAGGCTGGAGCGAGTGACCGCAGTGACTGAGCAGTTCACAGCATATGATGCAACTACTCTCACCCACAGGTTACAGGTCAAACATTTCAGCATTACATTTTTAACCAAAATGCTTTCTGAAAGCATATAAATATCATAATCCTTGCCTCTGTCCCTGTGAACACGTACAAAAACGGTGAAAGAATTATGGATGATGGCCCAAAAAAAAAAAAAAAGTAAACAGAGCAAGCCTTTGTTGGAACATTTCGCTATAGGTAAACAATTTTCAAGTCACGCCTTAAAAAAAAAAAAACTCTACTTAAAAGGAAATATTATTCAAATAAAGTCTTACTTTCCATATTTGTCCATATACTTTTCAGCGTAACGCCCTCCAACCAAATATGGATGCCGACACCGAACGTAGTTAATTCTTAAGATATATCTTAGCTGGACTAATCCTCAGTTTCATATGAGGATACATACAGCTACAAATACTTGCAAGTCGAATAGCAGCTTAACTAGCGAGATACTGAAAAAAATCCCTAATAAAACAGGAAGCAACAATACAAACAGACAGGTGAATCTTCGTTGTGGGCGTGTCAGGAAACTGCCACGTGATGTCCTTCAGTACACCCTCTCCTTTATAAATAGGTTCACCATTCCAAGGTTTTGCCGCGGAGTTCCCTTCCACTCCCTCCCACTTTCCACTACCCTGGTACCAGTTCCCGTGATCAGTATAGCCAACACACATTAGAAATCAACTACATTCTAAACATTTAATAAATCCTAACATGCACAGCAAACACTGAAGTACAGAATCAAGACGCTCAAAAACCAGTGTTCACTATAGTGCTCCACATACGACACAGAAATCTTACACTTTCACACTATAAATCACAACTGATATACACCTTCACTCTATACTTCACACTGCCATACACCTTGACGCTACACAACATACTTAGTCAAAACAGTCCATTTGACACCTTTGATGAGTTTTGAGTCTAATCTCGGAGGCTGGCCATGGGCTAGGCTCGTCTGGTGCTTGCCTGGTCAACCAGGATGTTGCTGATGGAGGCCCGCTGCCCCACATATCCATCACAGCCTGGTTGATGTGGCACCTGGTGAACGTACTGGTCCAGTTTCCTCTTGAAGGCTTCTACACTTGTTCCAGCAGTGTTTGATATCTTCTGGTAAGATGTTGAATAGCCTGGGGCCACGAATGTTGATACAGTGTTCCGTTATTGTGCCCACCGCACCCCTACTCCTCACTGGGTTTATTTTGCACTTCCTCCTATATCGCTCACTCCAGTATGCTGTTATGGCAGTGTGCAGATTTGGGATAGGGCCCTCGAGTACTTTCCAGGTATATATTAGCATTCATCTCTCCGCTCCAGTGAGTACATGTTCAAGACTTTAAGGCATTCTCAGTAACTAAAGTGCTCTACTGGCTTGATAAAATTTCTATCAAATCAAGCAGGAAGAGAGGGGGGCGGGGTAAGAAAAAAAAGGTGTATGTAACTCCTTTAATCTGAGTCCTGCGTTTTTTCCTGTCCGCATTCGCTGGCTCTTTCGTTAGAGCAGCCCGGCCTGAGGTCAGGCTTCCCTGTTGACTGCCTTTTCAACCAGGCCTCACAATCCTGCCATCCGGCACTTTTAGAAAGAAGCTGTCAAGTGTATAAAATCACACGACTAGTCTTGCCTTAACATGTTTAATGAGAACGACTGACTAATCAACTTATGGAAAACATTATCTCTAGTATCCTCGTCTATGATGATGCATTTAATGTAATGTTGTATGTATTTTTTAATTAGATCTAGGTATCTTCTATAATTTAGGGCGAGCATATTAATATTTTACGTAAATATTTGAATTTACCAATTTCACACAATATGCTCGCTTCCGTAAAAAAAAAATATCAACAAGGAAAATTAAGTATATAAAATCACACTGGAATGTATATTGTACAAGAAAACTTCAGACCTGGAAATATAAACACGTGCAGTATAATGTGATCCTTTATTGACTACGTTTCGCCCACACAGTGGGCTTTTTCAAGTCATGAACAGAACTAACTAGTTAGTTCTGTTTGTGACTTGAAAAAGCCCACTGTGTGGGCGAAACGTAGTCAATAAAGGATCACATTATACTGCATGTGTGTTTATATTTCCATTGTGTCGGTATTTTATACCATTTATTTCCAAAACTTCAGACCTGCTGGAATTCATATCCCATGTAAGAAAACTCCAGACCTACTGGAAGCCTTCAAGTGTTGGGGGCCCATTATTCACACACTGCGTTGGATCTAATGTTGAAAGGTAAAAAGTGTTAGTGCAATGCGGTATATATAATATTAATACCTGCAATGAGGCTGCCATTATGGTGGATTCTGAGAGGAAATGGAGTTACCCTCCACTTCTCGGACCAGACGAGATTACCTCCATTTCCCCAGGTGAGGTATGACCCCAACGAGTTGAGTGCTGCCCCATGAATATAATAAAATGAGCAATCCCCCAAGGGTTGCCAATTATGTGCAAATATAAATATACACAATTCTGAACTCTTTACAGGTCAGACTGTAACACTGAAAATCTGCCCAAATTAATGAACTATACAATTCAAAAACTAAAAATTTACATGGGCTGCACTGGACTAGGTACCCCCTAACCAGTATTGCCTGGTGGTGGTCTGGGAATCATCCCTTCCCCCTACTCGCCCCACGGCCCGGTTTCTGACCAAGCCTTCAGTTCAGTTATCAGTCAAGATGAAGTTTGACCTGGCGTCCGACGCAGGTACCGCAGACTAGACGATCAGGACCAGTTTCCAGTAGCGGGTCTACTTCCCTCTTGAAAACGGGTCTACTGATAATTCCAATTACACTTAAAGAGGGTGTATTAAAGCCTTTGACCCTTTATGCTTATTTAGTTGCACACATTACCGGGAACACCCTATTAAAGTATCAATAACACTAATTGCTAACCGTGATAGAAGCAGCGGTGCAGAAGTAGAGTAGCAAGGGTCGACTTGCTCGTCTAACGGACCCCACACCAGCCTCCCTCCTCCCTACCCGCCAACAGCAGCAGCACCGACTAAGTTTAACAAGATAAAACTTAGCTTTCAAAAATGTGCATACTGAGTAAACACCTACCTTTACTTTCCCGTATTCCATCATTTAGTGTGCTAGTGTGACTTATAAATGATCTAAGCTTTTTTTCTCTCCCATGTGCGTGTTATTTTGGAATTGTTCCAGTCACGGTATTGTGCCTTTTTGTTCTTTATTGAAAGAATATTTCCATTCCAATTTAGGCCTGGTCTGAGACCGGGTCACTAAGGGAGATAATCCCAGGAACCAATAACAAAGATAACCTAACGATTGCTACAATTAAGGTTTCTACAACTAGAACATTACAAAAATCTTGACCTATAGGCTTAAAGTACTCTAAATTTAATTTAAAACAATAGATATGATCAAAATAATACACAAGCCTCTAAACGCGCACGCCCTCAAGCGTCAACGAAAATACACATGGACATTCACAAGTCAACACCTTGAACCCTGATTGGTTAACCAATCTGGATCACATCCAAAAAATATTTGCTGTGCGTCCATCATGTCGACCTTTGGTATTTCACACGTAATAAAAATAAAAGATGGCAGGTAAGAATAACTTAGTCTATCCTATAATCTAGGGAACCTTGCTGCAGATAGGCTGAGCGGTAGGTTTGAATGATAGATGTATAGCAAGGATGGATGGTCTTTACCACAAATCAAGCCCAATGAGCAGGAAACAGCCGAAATTTAAACTAACTGTTGAGCCAATGTTTATCTTTTACATATTTTATTAAATATAAATATGAATATTATCTGTCACGCCACTGTTTCATATCTATCCGCTACACAACTACTCTCCACATTCGTCTCATCTACCGCACCTCGAGAAGGTTGCTCATACAACAATTAGGGACCCCAATGAAAGTCAATCAGTCACAGTATTTGATTTCACTGGATTATCTTAGGTTAACTACATAATGTAATGTACGTTTTGTACCCGAAACATGTGTGCCCTTAAAAGCATACTAAAAGAAATTAACATGTACCCAAAGCCTAAATAAACTTACCTGTTTATTTCACCCTAGATTACTGCTTAAAACGGCATTTAAGTCACCGAGGAATCCCCCCCCCATTCCTTCCGCCCCCCTCGCGTCATTTTCTTATTAATGATGTATGGTAGCAGCAAAGAAAAAGGTACAATACCGTGACTGGAACAATACACAAATAATCCTCCCATACGAGAGAGGAGCTCCTCTCTATGTGCGGGTTATTTATGTATAGTAGTATAGTAAAAAAGTAAAACGCACTGGGAGGGAAAAGTATTGAGGCTGCATGTATTAAAATAGATATGACAAGCACATGAGACTAGTCATCGTACGCGAGCCCCCACAACCTGAGAAGTCATGATGGCGTGAGGAAACAAAATAGCCAACGCTTCAGTGTCCCCCTCTTCCTCCCATATATAAATGTCCCACACCCCTGGACGCACCATGTGAGCAACCATGATTCACTGAAGCAAGCTTTTTTTTTTAATTCGTTTGCCAAAGAAACTCACCTGACACGGGTCTGTCATAAGATAGCCCGAGAGGTGCTGCTGGCACTACGGCGGGGAAGCAGTAGGAAGCAACTGCAAGTTTATACGTTTATACACATTGCCAGAAGCAAACTTTTATTTAAAATTCGTATTATGAGGTACTTACGTTCATTCCGTTGTCACAGTTGAGGTACTTGTGGTCAGTGGTGAAGAACGTACCCGTTACCTTCCGGGTGTCAGACGCCAATGCCTGTATTACGAATCCCTTAAAGTTAGTGTTTCCAGGTGCCTGTAGAGTCACCAGCATCTTCTCGCCTGCCAGAACCTGTGCAGATCCCGGTGTTATGGTATAAGGCGAAGGACTGTTCTGCGGGTCTGCGCCATGGATGGGCCTTCTGTTGGCGCAGGCAGTGTCAGGCGCGCCCTGAGAGAACGCCCACGCACACCCACTCATGCACGCCCACACCACTAGTACCGTCTTCCCCACATAAGCACCCAGGCCTGGAGAGGAAATATTATAGCAATGAACCTATGAAAAATAGACAGCATATTCTGGTAGTAAACAGGACAGCAATCAACAACCTGACTGTGTTGTGGAGAGCGCTAGGTCTAAAAGGTTATCCAATAATAATTTCATTTCAGCATGATACATGTTTGTATAGCGGAGCATAACAATTAGGTGTATATGCCAAAAGCCCCTTTATATGCAGAGCATTTCGGGCAAACTTAAGATTAATAAGGCAATAACAGTGCAGTAATTGTACATATGGTCATTAGGCGAGTTACAAAGTTATATACATAGAAATCAAACGTCTAGTGGCAAGATAATTTCACGTTAAAACACAAAACATGGTACATGTAAAACTGTACACCATTAAAACAGAGAGATTCCAGGCTAAAGATATTACATTCTTAAAGACAAATGATGATGAAAAACTACAGAAAAGATACGGTACTAAAAAGTTTTTCTTTAGAAATATAATGGTAGGAAGGAAAAATGGGATCAAAGGTAAAATGTACGGCAGCTACTGAAAAATTATATAATGAAATTCTACACGAAGACTGGATACTACTAGGATAAATGTGCTGTAATTTCAAACAGGAAATGACATTCCTAAATTATTTTCTCGCCCAATTACCTGCACACGCGAATTTTTGCTGGCTATATAAATAATAACCGTCTGTAGTATGCTCCAAATAGGAGGTGAATCTTTGGCAGGCCTTGGTTATTATATTATTTAGGGAGAAGCGCTAAACCCGTAGGAGTGTATTGGTAATGGGAGGCAATTAGAGGACAAGTCTCATCTTTGATCAAGAGCGCCTCATGAGCATCAAGAAACTTCCCTTGAGGGGTATGACCGGCACTGAGAAATGTTGCAATGAGAATGTATAAGAAAGACGCAGAGGGAGGTGACCTTGAGTCCGTCGCAACCTGATCCTGTTACCCATGGCAGTCACGCCTCTAGCACCTGCTCTCACACAAACATTGACCCAGCAGGTGCAAGAACTTCTCAACCTAGCCTAGAACACATCATCACTTGTTTTTTATGTGCGTCAGGTTAACTTCTTTCAATGTGTGAGGGCCAAAATGTATTTTTTAAAGTGTCATTATTAATATTATAATTAAAAACTTCCATCTTCCTTTGGAAGTACTGGGTTATGGTGCCTACGTTGGACTGCGTGCTGTTAGCACGAACAGAATAGAATGACTGATCAGGCCCTCAACCAGGATGCACGGTCAGACACACAGCTAGGAGGAGGGAGACTACGATCCCTGGAATCTACTACAGGTATACCTGTGGATTACCTCGATCGTGTTCTATAGCTGGTGTGATTAGGTGTCTTAATGGAGATAAGAAAATTGTGAACTTCAGGGTAGCTTGTTCGCATCTCAATGTCATAACACCCAATTTTCTAAAATGAAGGTAAATACAAGATTATTGTTATAATCAAAAAGAAGCGCTAGGCCACAAGGACTATACAGCAGGTAAATACAAGAATAATGGGTCTATGTATATTATATCCGTAAATTTATATAAAATTCTAAGAAAAAGCCTATATTTGCCTTTCCGATACTCAGTGGTATTATCTTTATACTTCATTTTCTCTTCGCTGGTATTACTGGTGAATACTATTCAGCACATTCACTGCAGTAACCTTCAATACAATCTTTTGCACCATTACCCAGTCTCTAGCGAGTCTAAAGCTTTTTCCCTGTTTGAGCAAGTGACAATTTGCAGAGAACCAAGATGACTGCAACGAAAATGAATATATATCATATTTAGCAATAACTGCTTCTACATGTAAATTATTATAGATTGTTCAAAAGTATAAACCTGTTTTCTCCAGTCAGGGAATTATGTCTGGTCACTGCAAATTCATCAGGATTACTGGCATTGGCCAAAAATGACTGATAAGGAGGTCGCTGGAGGGTTCTCCATTTACAATTTATAGGATCAAATTCATAAATTTAATTTTTTAGGATAAATTGATAAGTTATGAAAGAGATGTTTTAAAGGTCTTTTATTTATGTTACAAAAATGTGCATTACCAATGTGTCAATTAATAGCAATACTGAGCGCGGGGGTTCCTTGCCAGTCAACGAACAAGGATACTTCAGTCACGAAGCCGCGGAATAACAGATTTCGTGATGTGGCTCTTTGCATAAAAACGCTGCACTACACTAGGTGAAAGATTCTGGGAAATAACTGACCACTTCTGGGTATGTTAGTACAGTTAGTGAGGACGTTTTTCTAGGCTTCCCTGGACGCGTTCTTTTGGTGTGGGCATATCAACACTGTCCTCAAGGAACCAGGTCCTCTCTGGACGCTCAAACACATCGCTGGCTTCTACTATTTCCTTCGTTTGATGGCCAGTCTTTTGTAAGCCTATTGTCTCCCCAACTCTATTGTCAGCGATTTGCTCATGTATATATTTCGAAAAAAAAAAAAGTCCAGAAAAACTCCACCCTTAAGATCACATTATGCAAGGGAACCAATCTTCATCAGTCAAACCCAGACGGCACTTTGGATACAGCCAGTAGCCAAAGGGAATCCTGAGACGTTCCCTTTCGAGTTTCCAGGCCATTATAACTGGCATACTTTACATGACGAGCACTGTATATAGGTTATTAGTCATTATCATCACTCAAATTCATTCAGCAATATTATTTACCGATACTGAGTGGATGGATACCTACAAAGTGGATACAGATACAAAAGGAGTATAAAGTAGATATATACCAGGTGGGAACAAAGTAGTTTTGCATGAAAAACTACTATCTTACAGTTTTGAAGACAGATCTTCAGTATGACAGTGATTCTAAGACTGAAGTGCCCGAGTTCATATAACGAGGGAGAGCGGGAAAGTTATGAAGACATTTAGCACAATTTTTTCACAAGGTTAAATTGGCGTGCTCACTCAGGTGCAACATTGCGGGCAGTAGAAAATGAGCTTTCTCAGAGTTATGGTCATCTAGCATTGTACTGGGATCATGACGATGTGGAAGCTTTCTCTTAAAGATCACAATCCTCAAGGGAGGTTCCTTGAAGCTGGTGAAAAGCTACAGAACCAAGGAATTAGAAACGGCCTCCTCTCCTTTGAATCGGACCTGATTGTGTCCCATCCCTCAGGCACTGTATGACCCCTATGGGTCTCCCCCTGTTTCCCTAAATATAATTATCTCGCAGATCACCATCATCCCGAGTTTATTTTTTTCGCAGATCCTAGTTCTGATTCATTTAATTTCAACACAAGCACGCTATTCTCTGGCATTTATATTGATTTTATGTCATCTTAGAGCATTAATCTAAAAGATCGGAAAAAAGAACGTAAAGTCCTCTATATAATCTCAGGAGTGCCGGGCCTCTGTTTTCAGGAAGGGCAAAGCATCGGATGTTCCACCTAGTAGGGAAAATTAGCCTAATGGGCACTCAAAGTTCGTGCTCTGACCGTAAGGTGGCTGCTCTGAAAGGAAGCGACCAGTCCTCGGAGGTCTTGGCCCTCCAATGAAACGTGTTGTATGTTGCATTTGTGATAGAGCTAGTGCTAGGCCACGAAGGTAAAATTTGCTGACTGTTGGTGGTAGTCCCTCCAATGACGTTACCCAAGCTACTTAAAGGCTTTTAAAAGCGAGTATGAGCCCCTCTCAACTGGCCTCCCTACTTAATGCCACCGTTGAAAAGATATAATCTGGAGAGAGTTCCGGGGGTCAACGCCCCCGCGGCCCGGTCTGTGACCAGGCCTCCTTAGGTCAGTGTCCCAGGATGCGACCCACACCAGTCGACTAACACCCAGGTACCCATTTTACTGATGGGGAACATAGACAACAGGTGGAAAGAAACCACGTCCAATGTTTCTACTCTGGCTGGGAATCGAACCCAGGCCCTCACCGTGTGAAGCGAGAGCGTTAACCACCAGGTCACCAGAGCCCTTCCATTTCATGAATGTAATGCTTGCTACTTAATTTTCATTTTTTTTAATGAAGGTACTATTTTCCTTAATTTGTCAAGCCCGCAATTTATACCAATTGCTCTGAACAATTTCAAGTCACTACGCCTGACAATACTGAGTATGGCCGGGATCGCTCGCTTACTATACTTTATATACGGCAGGGAAAAAAATCTCATGACATGGGTCTTGTTCGAATCACCCGCTCAGAGCTTTATATAAAAATATTAAAGGGTTTAATAAAGCATAAGTTGATGCAGTATTATGCCGCTGACACATACTTTTGAAATATCGTTGACGAGTTTCGAGTTTTTCTATTCACGGAACCTGGCTTTGGGCCAGGCTGATAGGGTGGGTCAATTACTTTAATGCATAGTGATAGGTATGTGGATCATTGGGCCACCAGCAGCAATAGCCTGGTTGACCAGACAAGCACCTGGTAAAGTAAACTAACTTAAGGCGTTCTCCCCTGGCCTGCGGTTGCTTGGGGTGGGATGTGTATCTCTCATTTATCAGCTGGCTACTTAGCACAGTTCTCTCAACATTAAGACAACCTATAAAGTTAAAAGGAAATAATTAGCAGCTGACAATGGCGTTATCACTAGATACCGAGAGTTGCTGATGACTGGACAGCAACAATACAAGTGAAACCCCAGTTATTGTTTATCCATCTAAGTGACCAACCTACCGCTACAACCAAATTGCACACCGTAACGCCTCTCTACACTACTTCATAAAATTTCATTTCCAGAGAACAATGATCTTCAATTCAAAGGTAAAAGACCATATGGTATTTTCAATTTATTATGTTCGACGAAATTTTAAGCCATACATTTTCCATAAAAGCTGAGAAATCCCATATTTAAGAATTAATCTCGACTACTTATTTCAGCGCGCGTGAGCTTGGTACTTTACATGTATATATATAATATATGCATTATACACTCGGTAGCCACTTAAGATACATCTGATCGTTAATGTAAATATCTTATCAGCCAATCACGTGGCACCACCTCAATGCCTACAAGCATGCAGACATGGTAAAAAAAAGT